CCTCTGTGAAGACCAAGCAGTTACATTTCTAACTGCAACAAAAGACTAGTTATGCGTTTTTTGCAGCTATGCAATGCAGAAAACGCATATTGACGAGAGGTTGTCTGTGTGTGTGATGTGTCCGTGTGTCTGTGTGTGCCTGTGTGTTCGCATGTACCGATTTCTCGTCTCGAGTTCGGCAAAAGCTACAGGGCTGAAACTTTGGGGACATAATCCACATGCACGTACGGCCCCATCCCCGAAGTGGGCGGTTTTACCCGCGTAGTACCCACGTAAGAGCCCGCCAAAATTTTTCTCGGTAAGTTGATAACTCGCGAACCAGAAAAGCTAGAAGGCTGAAATTTTAAGGGGATGTCTCCCATCCAAGTAGATATTAACGAGCTGAAACCCAGCCCACGGGTAAGTGTGGTAACCGCGTACGGGCCTGCCAAAATTTTTTTCGGGTAAGTTCATAACTCGGCGACCTAAGAATCTAGAAAGCTGGAATTTTAGAGTAATGTTCTCCGTCCAAATGGGTAACAGTGAGCTCAAACCCAGCCCCCGAACAAGAGTGGTACCCGCATAAAGGACTGCCAAAACTTTTCCGGGTAATTTGATAACTCGAGTACCTGAAAAGGTGAAGAACCGAAATTTTAAGAAGATATATCCCGTCCAACTAAGTTTCATTCAGCTCAAACCCAACTCTCGGGTATGCGTGGTAAACACGCACCGGCCCATGAAAATTTTTTTCCAGTAAGTTGCTAACTCAGAAACCAGGGAAGCTAGAAAGCTGATATTTTAAGGGGATGTTTCCTGACAGTTCTGGTGGCCAATCTTAATTTGTTCAGCTAGAAGCATTTGCCGAAAAAGCCGGTGCCGGTAGCAACAAAAACTGCGGGGAACTATGCAAAAAACGCATCTTCGCACGTGCAGCCCGTGCATTGGCCAATTATTTTTTATTAGAAAAAAGAATAGTATGCGCGCCAGCACATGCACTACAGGTATGAACGCATTAAAAGCAATTGTTGCCTTCCTATAAAACACATCACGGCTAGCACGATGGTACTCGTACTGTAAAGCAGCCGGAAACCGTCAATACAGCTAACAACATCTCGTTATTGCTGTGGCCGCAGCAGCACTACTTGCCGACCTACAGGGGCGCCCGACCTATGTACACCCTCGCACCTCGATTTATCTCATTTTTTTGCCGCCAAATGTCCACAAAATGCCCTCAGATCTTTGTTTTTTTTTTTTTTATGAAGCATTGCTTCTGCGAGAAAAAACAATAGAGCAACAAATAAGCTTTATTAAAAGAGATTAAGCGGAAAACTTCTTTAAAAAGACAGGAAAACTGTGTTTGAGCGATGAAAATGCATTTTTGTGATAAATTCATCAGAAACAGATGGCTTTGTGGATAGGTACGTGGTGATCGAAGTGAGCGAAATAAATGGGAGTTGAGTTTAAAACAGTACTGGCAATAAAGGACTC